ACTTGACAACCACCTGACCAAATTTGATGATTTTTTTTTATTTAAATTCTATGTTTTTGTATAAGTCTAATAAAAAAAAAATTCATCAAATTTGGTTAGGTAGTTGTCGAGATATCTTTGATCAAAGTTAGAAAAAAGTTAATTATATTTATTTTAATAGATATTTGGATTTTTTTTCTAACTTTAATCAAAGGTAACTTGACAACCACCTGACCAAATTTGATAAATTTTTTTTATTTAAATTCTATATTTTTGTATAATTCTAATAAAAAAAAAAATCATCAAATTTAGTTAGATATTATCTTTGATCAACGTTAGAAAAAAGTTTACTATATTTATTTTAATAGATATTTGAATTTTTTCTCTAACTTTAATCAAAGGTAACTTGACAACCACCTGACCAAATTTGATGATTTTTTTTTATTTAAATTCTATGTTTTTGTATAAGTCTAATAAAAAATCATCAATTTTGGTTAAGTAGTTGTCAAGATATCTTTGATCAAAGTTAGAAAAATGTTTACTATATTTATTTTAATAGATATTTGGATTTTTTCTCTAACTTTAATTGAAGGTAACTTGACAACCACCTGACCAAATTCGATGAATTTTTTTTTATTTAAATTCTATGTTTTTGTATAATTCTAATAAAAAAAATTATCGATTTTGGTTAGGTAGTTGTTGAGATATCTTTGATCAAAGTTAGAAAAAAGTTTACTATATTTATTTTAATAGATATTTGAATTTTTTCTCTAACTTAATCAAAGGTAACTTGACAACCACCTGACCAAATTCGATGAATTTTTTAAATTTAAATTCTATAAGTCTATATAATTCTAATAAAAAATTATTGAATTTTATTAGATAATTGTTGAAATACTTTAGATTAAAGTTAGAAGAAATTTTACTGTATCTATTTTAATAGATGTTTAGATTTTTTAAAAACTTTGATCAAAGGTATCTTGACAACCATCTAACCAAATTTAATAAAATTTTGGTTGTTCTATAGAAAAGGTAGCTAAATACTGCAAACTTTGTAACTCTATTATTAAAAATAATAATTACTAATTATTAGTAAAGCTTTTTTTATATTGCTTATCTATTCTATAGAATATTTAAATTTTTTATTTGAATTCTATAAGTCTATATAATTCTAATAAAAAAATTATTAAATTTGTTAAATAATTATTAATATATCTTTAATTAAAGTTAAAAAAAAATTACTATATCTATTTTAATAAATGTTTAGATTTTTTAAAAATTTTGATTGAAGGTTATTTAACAACCACCTAACCAAAATTTGATAATTTTTTATTTAAATTCTATGTCTATATAATTATAATAAAAAAATATCAAATTTGGTTAGATGGTTATCATGATACCTTTGATCAAAGTTGGTAAAAATTTTATTATATTAGTTTTGATAAATATTTGATTTTTTTTAAAACTTTGATTAAAGATATTTTGACAACCACTTGATCAAATTTGATAAATTTTTTTATTTAAATTTCACAAATTTGTATAGTATTATTCTAATAAAAAATATTAAATTTGATCAAGTAGTTGTTAAGATGCCTTTAATCAAATTAAAAAATTTTATTATAGCTATTATTTTAATATTAAAATTATACATATATAAAAATTAATTTATATTTATAATAAATTTATTAATTTATTAGAATATAAGAATGGAATCTGAAGAAGAAAATATTTATCTTGATAAAAATTTTATTGTTAAAATAATATTTCTGAAATTATTGATGATGATATTTCAGATGATATTAGCTCTAATCAAGAAAAAGATGAAAGAAATTGCTTCTAATAATGAAGATGATATTAGTGAAAATGAAACTAATATTAGTCAAGAAAATGAAGAAAATGAAGAAAATGATATAGAAACAGATGATAAAACAAATTTTAGATCTATTGTTCATTAACATTTTACTTTAGATAAAAAAATTAAAAAATATAAATGTAATTATTGCAGGTAAATAATTAATTTTATATTAAAATTTTATAAAATATATTTAATTCTTATTAAACCATTTAATAATAATATTTTAGACAAAATTATAAAATTCAAGATAATAAATCAACATCTACTTTAAAAAGACATCTTGAAAAAAAACATAAAAATACAATTACAAATGAAAAAATTATAGAAACAATAGATAAATTTGTTAAAAAAGAAGAATTGGTAAATATTTTTAATATTAAATTTTAAAAATTTATAATAATAAATTTATTAAAATAAATTTAAATTATTATTTAAATAGCTTTTTTGCACAAGAAAATTGGTATAATGATTTAATTAATTGGATTATTTCTGATGATCAATCTTTTATTGTTGTAGAAAACAAAAATTTTCAAATTATGATTAAAAGACTTAATAATATAGCAAAAATACCTTCTGCAGATACCATCTCTAACAAAATTATTAAACTTTATAATGATAAACAAGCTAATTTACAAAAAAATTACAAGAAATACCAGGCAAAATTTCATATACTCTTGATACTTAGACTTCTAAAAACCAAAAATCTTTTATTGGAATAACAACATTATTTTTTATTTTTAGATATTAAGCATTACCACTGATAATGCCTCTAATATGAATTCTATGTTTTTAATTTAGAAGAAAAATATATTAATGAAAATTTAGAATTTAGTTCTATAAATTAACATGTATATTGTCTTGCTCATATAATTAATTTAGCTGTTCAAGAAATTCTTAAAGCAATTTTTTTTTTTTTTTGGTATTAAGGTGAGGCCTTGCTCATATCTTTATTAGTAACTTTAAAAATAGTAACTACAT